ACCAACAGGTGACAGAGGTTGGGACAGATGGGTGGGGTCAAGGTGGGTGTGGCCACGGTGGGCGTGGCACACTCACAGGCGGGCACTGCGCCAGCTTGTCCGAGGCCACCATCTGCACGTTGAGATGCTTTGCCTGGGACTTGCCCCGGGACTTCACCAGGCGCTGCAGCACCTGGGGCACGAGGGGACAGCCCGGGGTGGCCTCAGGGACACGGCCGGACCCTGCCCGGCCCCCCCAGCAGGGCAGGGAGGGGGCTGGCACTGCCCCCCGCCCACCCCAGCACCCCCAGACCCACCTTGGGGGAGGTGATTTTGATGTAGACGATGATGGGGGCCAGGGAGGTCTTGGCCAGCTGGGCCGGGTGGTTGATGGTGTCGGCGTCCAGGGCCACCAACTGCAGCGTCCGGGCCAGCTCGAAGATCCGCTCGGTCTCGCTCTGCACCTCGGCTGAGGGGGGGGCACAGACAGAGGGGTCAGGGGACACGGGGGGACAACGGCAGGGAGAGATGGGATGGGGGCCATGAGGGGTCTGCACTGGGACTTGGCCACTCCAGTGTCACCCCAGCCACAGGAGGGAGGGTGGACTGGGCTCCAGGCGGGTGAGGAAGGGGCAAAACCTCCCCTGAACCTCACACACACATGGAAGGGGGGGTCACCAGGGTGTCCCCAACCCCACTCTGCCCGGGTGGCCGGACCCTGCTGTGTCCAAGTGGCAGGATGGGGATCCAAGGGGACACGTCCCCAGTGCCAGGGGTCCCGCGTTACATACCCAAGACATCTGTATCAGGAGCAGGGGAGGAAGGAAGCGGCACGGAGGGGAGGAACCCCAAAAGGAAAAGGAGAAACAGGAAAGAAAAAAACACAACAGAGAAGATAAAAGAGGAGGAGGAGGAGGGGGAGGAGGAGGGGAGTGACTGAGTCACGGGAGGGGAGCGCAGGGTTGATCACCCCACACCCCCACACCCCGCGAGCACCCCGGGGTGGGCTGGGGGCTGATACAGATGGAGGCTTGGGGGGGGTCCCACTGCCCCGGGGGTGCTCGGGGGGTGCCATACCCAGGCTGGAGCGGGTGCTGGAGCGCTCGATGATGGTGTGTTTGCTGGGGTTGTTGAGCACGGAGCGCTTGGCCAGGGAGATGTCGGCCGTGACCCGCGTGATGGAGATCCTGGAGGCACGGGGAGGGGTGAGACCCCCCACGTACACACCCCCAACCAATGGGGGGGAAAGGGGGACCCTCCTGCCACCCCCTTCCTTCCACCCCATGCTCAGGGCTGCTGGAGCTGCAGGATTCCCCATTAGAGTCCCCCCGTGACTTTAGGGTTAGGGGTTAGGGGTCCTCCACAGGATTAGGGATCCCCCTACAGTGTTTAGCAATTCCCCTGTGGGTTTATTAGGGGTTCCCCCATGGTTTTAGGGGTCCCATCCATGGAATTAGGGCTCCCCCCAATGGGACTAAGGGACTCTTATGGATTTAGGGGTCCCTCCACAAGGTTAACCATCCCACCTTGGGTTTACGGCTCCCCACATGGGATTAAGGGTCCCATCCTGGATTTAGGGGTCTCCCCCTGAGATTAGGACTCTCCTCATGTGATTAAGGCTCTCTTCATGGGTTTTGGGCTCCTTCTATGGGGTTATAGGTCCTCCCATTGGTTATGGGATCCCTCTATGGGGTTACAGGTCCTCCTATGGGTTTCAGGGTCCCTCTATGGGGTTACAGGTCCTCCCATGGTTTGCAGGGTCCTTCTATGGATTGGGGGTCCTCTTGTGGATTTAGGGGTCCCTCTATGAGGTTACAGGTCTTCCCATGAGTTTCAGGGTCCCTCTATGGGTTAGGGGTCCTCTTGTGGATTTAGGGGTCCCTCTGTGGGGTTAG